AGCACTTGGTTAGTAATGAAGGCCTCACATGGAGACAGGAATGGGGAGGTGAGGCCCTTTATAGCCATCTCGTAGGACTAAAGAGTGGTTCTTGTGCTTCCATTAGTATTTCTGTCTAAGGACTTGGAGAGCTTCAGAGATAATAGTTTTTATAATCAAATCAGAAATTATTTATTTTACTGAGAATTTTTATTTGTTTATTAACTGCAGCTGTAGAGGTGGAGGGAATGCAATTTGTCTAGCGTGTCAGCTGAGGTAGAAGAAATAGGATTATGATCAGAGATCTTTGGAATGCTGCATAAGAGCCCTGCCTCATCCTGTACCGCCTCCCTGACCCCAAAGAGGTTAGGAGGAAAAAGCAGATACGCCAGCAACAGAGCTGTGAAATCCCAGGGACCTGGGTTTAGTCCTGGTGCCTCCACCCAAATTCCTTCCTCCCTCCATGCCTCCGTAAAGTGGGGACACATCCACCTAGTTCGTGGCCTTTTAGTAAAGCGTTAAAATAGACGGAGAGCTCCAACGGCATGGCACAGTGCCTGTTAGGGAGTAAGCATTAATAAGTGGGGGCCATTCTTACTCAGAAATGATCAGAAATGACCGAGCATGAGACCTGGCCGTAAACTTCCTGGAGGTCCGAGAAGGAGAGAGTGTGGTGAGTTACTGAGCACTCATAGCCCAGAAGCCCCTCCCTGTCTCCTGGGGTGCTTATGGGGATACCAGATGCAGATGCAGGGAGAGAAAGCACTTCCACGCCAGCTCCACAGTAGGTGTGGAGGGCATTAATGCAGCGAGACGTAGAACTTGACCTGAGGAGTAGCAGAGTAGGCTGTCCCTTAAAGTAGACCTTCTACTGGACTTTGTGAAAGGAACATAACAGTTTAAGAGTATGTTCTCTTTGCAGATTCAGGACAAAAGAAACTTTGGAAACTAGTTAAGCTATGGTAGAGCAGACAGTCTGTTTGAAAATTAGGGAGACCTGCTCAGTATAGATAATTTTCTCCGTGGAAGGCTTCCCTTCCACCTAGAGGGGCCCTAGGGATGACTGGAAGCAAAGCAGCTTTTTCCTTAGGAAGCAGCTTGGAACTTGCTCCAGAGTTTGCATCAATGCCTCACTGAGACCTGAAGGTTTCCTGTTACAGAGCATGGAAGAAACGCCCTTCATTTAAAAATGGTGTAGGGCATGTGTTAATAGTTATTTGCCATGACCACAGGAAGACCACAGAAATGTTTCCACGAACTTCTAGTTTAAGCAGCTTGTCTTCCAAGGCTGAGATTTCAATAAAATGATTGATCAGCTGTGTGTAATTATTACCGATCACTGAAATATTGGAAAATGGCTAACAAATACAATAACTTTTGTTGTTCTCTGATCTCAGCCTTTTCTCCTGACAGTAGGTAAAGGGATTACTTGTTTCTTATGGTTCATAAAAAGAAGATTCTGGCATTGGTATATGGGAAGATATTGCTCTTTAGTTTGTCTCTGGAGGCAGGGGTACAGTTCCTTTAAAAAGTGATATTATCATTAATAAATACTTTTTTTTAAGTGTTGATAGAGGAAAGAGTAAAATACTTCCCTTTTTCCCACACACAACTTTATATTCTGTTTTGAACAGATGAATCTTTTCTTGATGTGGTAAAGATTATATTTCAAATCAGTAGCCATCATCATTCTTAATTATGAACCATTTCTGACAATTTCATTAAACAAGTGCAAAGATCACTACTGTCATCATTTTGTAATTATTAGTAATACTATTTTGGAAGTTCTGGGCAATGCCATAAGACGTAAAACAGAAAAAGAGGAATGGTCTATTGGAAAGAATGAGATAGACTCATCATTATTCATAGACACTATATTTTTATTTTTATTTTTATTTTTATTTTTATTTTTTTTATTTTTTTTAAAGATTTTATTTATTTTATTTTTTCCCCCCAAAGCCCCAGTAGATAGTTGTATGTCATAGCTGAACATCCTTCTAGTTGCTGTATGTGGGACTCGGCCTCAGGATGGACGGAGAAGTGGTGCCTCGATGCGCACCC